TATGAATTTCGCGCAAAGCTACACGAGGACTATCTGCGTTAGCCGTCCCCAATTTAGCAGCGGAAAACTAGAGGGAAGGCAGCTAGTCATCACCACCCACCGCCAACTCTTGGGATACGCTTTTACCAACGAATAGTGGGATTGACCGCCACATTATAACGCCCCCACGGCTAAAAGGGCGAGCATGTTTGGTGTGACAAGGATTCGAACGCGCGACCCGCAGATTACGAGTCGAGCGCCCTAACCACCTGGCCATGCCTGGCCCTCTGTATTATGATTATATTACTTTGAATTTGAAAAAACAACAACAACATAAGAATAACAATCCTACAGAGTATATAAAAGATCACGTATCGCCATAATGTTGTTTTCTCTTTAGTTTCACCTCTGGTGGGTTAGGGTAAGTTTAAGAACTTACAATGCTAAAATCCTGGGTTTGATTCCCCGTCGTGGTCAGATCATAGATAATCCATTGTGTAACTTTGCACTACAACAGCATCATTCGGTCTTTTATTTGTTAAGAAAATGCAAACGTATTAAACCTAAACAAGCGATAACACGTTAATACCCGAAAATATCGGTTCCAATAAAAAAATCACCACAGAAATATAATATCTATGTAAAATACAGACGCATGCACTGCTACGTTAATAATATATATGTTATAGAGAAAATTGTTTGGAAATCAGTATTTTACTGTTCAGTTTGTTCGTTTATTTTTTGTAGTTAAGCGCAAAGCTACACAAAAGGCTATCTATCCACCACTGGTATCGAAATCCGGATTTGAGCGTTATAAGCCTTCAGACTTACAGCTGAGTCAACTAGTGGCATGTTTCATTATCAACTGAAGTCATATGAAGTAATAATGATTACCAAAATTTTTGCCCCCCCCCTCCTCAGTGTTTTTTGAAGTTAAGCACAAAACAACAAAGCTATCTGTGCTCTGTCCACCACGGATATCGAAACCCAGATTCTAGCGCTGTAAGTCTGCAGACATACCGCTGTGCCACTGGGAGACCCCCTCCCACACACAGTGGCTCGGCGGGAAATCTGAAGGCTTATTACAATAAAACTCGGGTTTCGATACACTAGCTGGGCACAGTACAAATTGCCCATTGCGTAGCTTTGTGTTTAACAAAAAAAAACAAAAAACATTTTTCTGAGAAACGTAAATTTGAATTATTATATATTTGTATAAATGCAAACTTATTCTGTATTTCAGCACTTAAGAAGCTGTTCAGATTATCCACGAGAAGATCGACTGCTTATCACTTTTGAACCAGTACGATATAGGGTGCTATCTTTGTCCAACTTATCATCTTTAGTTGTACCCCTACCATAACTTTCATAGCGGAATAAAAACCTGAATTACAGTTAACATTTTTTGTAAAGAGTTCCTAGCTCAGCGTCTAGGAATGAGTCACTGATAGACGATTTTTTGTAATATTTGTTATATAATAATTTGTAAGAAACAATTAACTAGTTCATTATACTCGTAAAAATGTAAGCGTTTCCTGCATCTAACTATTTAAATGGGTCAGGCGTATCCAAGTAGGTAGCATGGCAGAACGAGGATCTGCGGGTTTAGCGTCCTCGTACTGTTACCGCAATAAAATAAAATAAATAAATGAACTGCGCACTTTAGGACACTGGGTTTGTTATAAGAGGATCTGGCATGGCTTGGTGGTTAGGGCGCTCGACTCACAACCTGAGAGTCGCGGGTTCGAACCCCGTTCTACCAAACACGCTCGCCCTTTCAGCCGCTGGGGCGTTATAATGTGACGGTGTCAATCCCACTATTCGTTGGTAAAAGAGTAGTCCAAGAGTTGGCGATAGGTGTTGTTGATTAGCTGCCTTCCCTCTAGTCTATCACTAATAAATTAGGGACGGCTAGAGCAGACAGCCCTTGTCTAGATTTGTGCGAAATTAAAACAATCAAACATTATACGAGTAATTGTCTGATCCCACTATTCGATCACAAAAAATGTATCCCAGGAACTGTTGGTGGGTGTTGTTAAGTAGATGTTCTAGTCTATTAGTTCAAAATTAAGAAACAGCTTGCGCAGATAATCCTTGAGTAGCTTTGATTGAATATCCAAAAAACAAACAATATTTGAATACCCATTCAGTGTCTCCATCTATTAGGTTTTAATAAAAATATCACAGCTTGTTTGTTTGTTTTGAATTTCGCGCAAAGCTACACGAGGGCTATCTGCCCTAGCCGTCCCTAATTTAGCAGTGTAAGACTAGAGGGAAGGCAGCTAGTCATCACCACCCACCGCCAACTCTTGGGCTACTCTTTTACCAACGAATAGTGGGATTGACCGTCACAATATAACGCCCCCACGGCTGAAAGGGCGAGCATATTTGGTGTGACGGGGGATTCGAACCCGCGACCCACAGATTGCGAGTCGAATGCCCTAACCACCTGGCCATGCCGGGCCGAAATATCACAACAATTTCTCAGTATGTTTTCCCATGTTTAACCTTTCTAAAGGCGCAATTGTTAGTGATAACACTATAGAAATAGTAGCAGTAGGAGGTTTTCTTTGCTGATTTATTTATTTCAAGCGAACCTACACAATGGGATAACTATATGCGCGGAGGATCTAGCCTCGAATTTTACGTTATAAGCCTTCAAGCCCACCACTGAGCCACCGTGAAACAGTAGTAGTTCCATTATTTTATAAAGTCAAGCATTTTTTACATCGTTTAAATCAAACTGGAATTTACATTATCTAAATATTTTTCTCTCCCTCATGGCGCCACAGTGGTATGTCAGTGGATTTATACCACTAGAAACCGGGTTTCGATACCCGTGGTGGGTAGAGCACAGATAGTCATTTGTGCTTAATAACAAACAACAACTCTCCCTCATAATTTTGATATCCGCATTACTGAATGAAAAAATAATCACTACCGTAATTCTACTCACAAATTTATTATTCTGAATCAGAATATTACAATAGAAAGTTTGTCTCATTAGGCTTACGATAAGATTAAAATCCCCCCACTATTTCTTCTTGAAGGACTATAGTTTCGGGTATAATATTAGATATTACGAATTTTGACGATGATAAGCAACTTTTCATTGAAGCTTCAGGTGTGTATATTTGTTGATACTTCTTTTCTGGAATCACTTTTAGCTTTTACCATAACGATAGAAAGTTTAAAGCTGATCAGCAAGGTTAATGGTACTCGAAATTTGATACTTTTAATTGATCGTAGTTTGGGTTTGGTTAATATTAATGTAAACTAAGATGTTATAGCTTTATGTAAACGTGTGATGAAGGAAATGCCATTTGAGTGTTATTTCAGGAAAAGTAATGTTGATTTAGAAACACAAAAAGAATTAAAGTTTTTCCTTTGTATTGTTTCAGAGTTTATTGAAAGTAAGAGTGTCTAAATATCAAAACTTAGTTACTGTATTATTCAAATAGCTTTTCGAATTACGTGATAATAGTCATCATGTGAAACCTAAAAATCGACTTATGTGATTTCACACTTCTCTAGCTATGCATAATCAAACAACTTCAAGGCTACGAAATTAGGTCAAAGCTTTATGTTTTATGCTTAAATTATGCCATATTAATTTTATTATGTTCATTTAATAGTTGAATATCCATTCTACCTTTTTGTTATTCTAATTATTTCATTTAAAAAAACAAAAACGATTTACAAGAATATTGTCTGTTAATTTTTTTTATAAATTGTGACTTCAGCAAAATGTCGAATATTGTGATATCCTCAGGAAAAACTGATTTTACTTAGAGAAACTAGATAGGTCTACTGAATAACAGGAGATTCGATAAGGTATTTATTACAAAGTAGTTCTGAATTTCTTTGAAACCGAGTTCACGAGAATGAAATAAAGGGACTGAACATAATGTAAGACACAATAAACAATAATGTTCCATGTTTAACCTTTGTAAAGACGCAGTTGTTAATGATAACACTATAGAAATGGTAGCAGTAGGAGCTTTTCTTTGTTGATTTATTTCTTTCAAGCGAACCTACACAATGGGCTGGCTATCTTTGCGGAGGATCTAACCTCGAATTTTACGTCATAAGCCTTCAAGCCCACCACTGAGCCACCGTGAAACAGTAGTAGCTCCATTATTTTATAAGTTCAAGTGTTTTTTATATCATATAAATCAAACTGGAATTTACATTATCTAAATATTTTTCTCATGATAACGATTACACAGTCGACATGCTCTCCCACATGGCCCACCAGTGGCACATTAGACTTATACCACTAGAAATCGAGTTTCAATACCTGTGGTGGGCAGAGCATAGATAGCCCATTGTGTAGCTTTATGTTTAACGTCAATAAAAAAATAAAAAACGGTTAGCCATGAAATCGTAAAAGTAAGTTTATTTTTGCGTTAATCGTAGTACCATTAGTCGGATATTTCCCTTTGAACGTCGTTTGTAATCTTAGACTTACGAATTAACACAATGTACAATATGTACAATTACTACAATATGTCATATTATCTTAATACCATTATAGTAAGAAAGGAAGACTCTTATTTTTGGAAGAACTATATTTTATATTAATATTACTAGTTTCGGAATATATAAATATTATCAAAATATATTATAACAGGGCCAGGCTGCATGGACAATATTTAAGACAATTAGCAACACCTAAAATGTGATTCCATTTGAAACTTTATTCCCGAATTTTAATAGCTCTGAGTATATTATGCAAGTCATTACAACAACTCTTTGTTTCAACGTGTTAGTACGTGTCCTGTTCCCTGAAACTACCCTAAAAAAGTAACCAGCACTGAATAACCCGATTGTTTGAACACTGAGGATAGGGGAATGGGTGTTACCGAGTTCGATACGTCAACTTCTAGCCTGCAAAAGTTATACTCTCCTCACCATGACGTCACTGTGTATAGCGAACGTAATTATTAGGCATAGCCCTGTTTCTTAGATAAACAGAGTTGGCTCGTGGTTTTATAAGAAAGTATATTGAACACATATTTGGTAAGCTTTCTTTGACTTCGAATAGGCTTGACGCAGTAGGTTGAAACAGTCATGACAAGCAAAGGAGATTTATTGTTACGGTAAGTTGATAAGTGTTGTAAAGCTCACAGTTACCTTGAACAAATTAAGAACCCTATTCAATATATTAATCATATGAAGCAAATTAACTATTCACAGCTTTTTCTTTTTTTTAGCAAAATCAGCATAACTATAAGTAAGATTAGTTCTGAAGGAACATTTACTGATTTAACTAGTTAGTAATACTAATACTAGTTACCAACTAATCAAGTTAGTTGAACTTGAGTAGAGGCTACACTAGTGTTACTAACATTGTTAGTCATTTGCTTTATGTTAGTGTTTGGTTTACTGTGTTCATTGTTGTACGTTTTAGACATTAAACTTGACATAGCACAAAATTCAAGGACAACAAAGGACCTATTGTGTCAATCTAGGGCTATCTTAGTATCTATAATCTAGGCTGGCCCCCCAGTGAACCAAACTTACATTAAAAATAAGAAATCCAACACTTATCATTGAAATACTTTTCAAGCCCTCCCATAAATTTCTTTAAGTTTGCTGCATCCACCACATCTGAAGGCAACCCATTCCAAAGACCAAATACTCTGTTAGAAAAATAAAGGTGTTTCAGTTCAGTACGACTTTTACTGTTCTTCTACTAGATCTATCCTGCCAAAATTTATATTTATATCTCCTAATCCTACCATTCTCACCATTAAAAGTAATAAAAAAAATGATATTGTATTGACACTATTTAATTTCCTAACAATCTTATTCACTTCAAATTGTCTTTATTTTCAAGATAAAACAATTTCAGAGATTTTATCCTGCCTCATAAGACAACCTTTACATCTCAGATATCATCCTAGAGACCTCCTCTGAACTATTTCCAACAATTCAATGTACTTCCTAAGATAAGAAGCCCAAGATTGAACACAAAATGAGGCCTAACAAGTGACCTGTACAATAAAACTATATCCTCTATTAGACTTGAATTCAGTATTTCTGTAGGGACAGTCAGTGGTGCCAGTTGGATAGGGAGGGCTTAAATTTGTTTTATTTTAAGAAATGTAAAACATCTGGTTAGGGGGCTATGTTTATGGGAAATTACTACCAATAATATTAATATTTACATTTTTTTTTGTTCCTAATAACCCTATGTCTCATAATGTAGTTATTACAGTTGATGTCTGAAATCCAAAATGTGTTATGTATCAACAGTTCATATATTTTGTAGAAATTAGGATTCAGCTTTTTATGATAAAGTGATCCCTTGTTGTCTGCATTTTACGTTTTCACCATATACTATAATATTTAAAAAAAAATATTTTAGTAGTATGTTATGTAATGTCATAATGAATCCTTTATTTAACATTAGGACTATAATTTGAAAGTTATCACCAGGATTTCTAAAAAAAGAAAATACTATTTATTTTAATTTTTACAAGTAAAACAATATATTCCTACAATTCAAAAATGACAGGCCTGGATATAACTTTACGTCTACACTTTACAGAGCTTCTAACTCAATAATATAACCTTGACACAAGAATAATAATGGCTAGAGACACCTTGAATGGGTAATGAAGAAAAACTTTAATATAAGTTTAACACAACATCGAACTTGACACAAGAAGTTAAGAAGAAAATCCGGAAAAGGAAAAACCTACTTCAAAAATTAATCACAGAAATATGATACCAAATAAACTCTGATTATTATAACTTGGCAACATTTCTGAGTTCTGAGCAATATCTAATCTACTCTCAATGTTCTTGATCATCTTGTATGTCATTTTCAATTTTCTTTTATACTTTTTATTTGTTACAAGATCACAATTATATTTCAATGACAGAAAGTTATTGACTACAGACAAAATATTTAATCAACTTATTTACATTAACTTATGTACGGCCACGTGCTACGACTATAGCAACAAAAGTCTCGGAGCGCCACCCAGTGCTAGTCCTTTTGCCTTACTGTGAAAATAATAATTACTGTATATTAATCCTAATGTTGTATCTTAAACAAGCTCTAAAGATAGCTCAGTTAAATGATAGAGGAAAAGGTACATTAATATGAACATAATAGTAATTAATAAAAAAATGAAGGAACACTTCCACAGTCTTATTATTGGTTCTATAGAAGTTTACTGCTAAAATGTGACGCCCTGTTATTACACTTGAATTTGACATTTAACTACGTGGACTTAATTTTTAATTATTGCCAACAATATCTGTTCCTCAAAATCTTCATTCATGGTTTGACATCTGGGGTCACATTCTGTAAAAATAATCTAAATACTTCCCAGGATTCTTACTACGTGCAACTGGACTCATGTTACTGACAAAATATAAATTTTTTTTTTCCCCCATGAAACTGTTGACTGTTTGTGCTATAGGCTCCCAGGAATCTACTTTCATTAGCTCATATGACCTCATTCCAGCTCTTCAGAAGCAGACAACAAATTGTTTGTTATATTGACAGCAGAGCTTTACAAGATTACATACGAGTTGTACAGCCTTTCAGAAATGTTTGGTTGTTAACCATTTACTAATAAATGTATTATATCATCAAGCCAATCAATCAAACAAATTTATATTCTCTCAGATAGAAGCTGAATATGAAAAATAAGTATTTGAAATACCTGTTTTTTTTGGGGGGGGGGGTTACACTTAATTTTCTGTTAGTTGAATGGAATGGAATTTCCCTTTTTTTTCCTGTTGATTGGCAACTCTTGTTCACAGTCTTCTTGCAACTTATGTCTTATTCCTTATATGGATTTCTAAAATGTTTGTGTTGCTGTTTTAATCCTAGTTTATGGTCAATTTAAAAGATATTGTTGGAGTTTATTATATCTAAGTACATCAAGTTTCTCCTCAAGAGGTAGAAGTAGAACTCTTGTATGTCAATCTTAAGATGGGTTCAAGTTTGAACATAGAACTCGGACGTGACTCCAGTTAAGGCAGTATGACTTGTAACAAAGTCATCCACATGTAGAATAGTTCTCCTTCAGGTATGGTAAAAACAAACTGCAACATTGGAAGAATATCTTAGACCAAGATTGGATATAATTTATGTGTGTAATAAGATGGTAGTAGAATATGAGGCAGCCTGAATGGGCCAAATGGTCCCTTCTTATTCTTGAAAATGAAATATAACTTGAGTAATTCAGTATTACTTTTGGGACAATTGAAACAAGAAGTGATAACATGTGTGTGTTTGTATGTATGTATGTTACACAAACAGATATTACAGTAGTTAAAAGTAAAAACCTTGCCCTTGCAAGGTACGTATTGCTGATGGTTTAAAGTGGCAAATATGGATGAGAATGGTAATCCATTCTCCCTGTATGGGATACCAGTCAATTGCAGGTTAGGCCCTAGCTAACAGCTGGTAGACTGGAACAAGTGGGGTAAAGTTTCTTGCTCTAGGACACAATAGCATGATGGGGGGCCAGCCTCGAACTTGCAATCATCAGACTACGAGTGAAAAGCTTGAAGCTACTGAGCCACAGGAGTAGTCATCTAAAAATCACAGTTTTGTCCTCAGCTGTCTTGATTGTATAGATAGTATCTTATGTGTACAGTCATCTAGAAAGCAAAGTTGGGACCCTTGCCATTTTTCTTTTATATCAATGACATAGATAAAGGAATAGCAGTAAATTGCTTAAATTTGCTGTTGATATTAAAGTTTTGCGTGTAGGACGATGCTGCTGCGTTATAGAAGGATTTAAATCACTTGGTGAGTTGGGTGAATAACTGGTAGATGGCATATACATATGAGAATAACCTTAACAGTGTTATAGAATAAAAGGATCTTAGTGTTCTGGTTCATTAAGGTTTCACTCAACTTCAGTTGTCGTCTGTTCTATGCTGCACGCGAGCATCCTTTAACCACAGATGCATGTTCAGATTGCATTGGGGTGTCACTCAGTTATGCATTGTCCTCTTTCCTACAGATAATTGGTATTTTCAGTCTGCTTTACAAAGGCATTTTTATAATAATTCCCAAGCATCGAATTTCACTAATTTTTGACATATTTTTCACGGCCATTGATGTGGTGCAAATGCACTTTCACATTGATAGCGGAAAAATTGCCAAAATTTGGGAACTATTTATGACTATGTTAGTGGTCATCTTCAACTAAAACAGGGAATGGGCAATCAAAAGAGGAAGTATTATAGGAGAAAAAGTGGAATTGGACTCGTGTAACCCACGAAATTTGGAGAAATCGAGCATGACCGACTGACATTTGGCTTTATGATTGTGATAACTTTTATAATTTTCAAGATAATGTGTTTAAATGACAATTAAAAGATGATAATTTAAAACAAGGAACTTGAATATATTTAAAAATTTTATTCAGATTATTAAACAGTGGGATAATTACTGAGATACTCTAGTGCCTCGATTATCCACAATTTTTTGCTTTCCCCGGACCAACTTGGATAATCGAGGCAACAGTGTATATTTGTTTGCTTTTACAACAACGAGTGCATGCTAACGATCACATGATATCAACAACTACTTGATAGTACTGCCTGAACTATAACTGCTTTTGGTCCTGTCAGAGTCTAAACACATGCACTGATTGGTTGAATTGAGAGAAAGAAGTAAAACAAAATGGTGTGAAATTAGTAATGTGATGTGCACCCGCAGAGGTCCATTACTGAGAAAACACGAAGTGCTGAATCTGCAATTAAAATCCTAGAAACAAAGATTTGGGACTCAAAGAACATAAAAAAAAAAAGTTCCAGACTGCCAATAGTCCAGAACTGTTCTAGATCCGAATTCTACTTAGCATAGCCCTATGCACGAATGAAATGGGAGAAAATACCATGATACATTTTTAGTTGCCATAATCACCTAGCACCCAGGATTTGTTGAGGCCTGTTATAGGGAGTCTGAGGTTTTGAAGATTATCAAGGGAATTGGGAGTGTTGATGCATCACTTTTCTTACTTAACGGTAGAACTAGGGTACACAAATATAAATTTTGGCCATCGCAGACATCTTCGGTTAGAATAGTCTTAATTTTATTAGTAGAAAGATGGTACAGTACACAAACAGAAATCAGCTTTAGTCACTAGCTTTTGTGAAAAACATTTGCACGATATTTCACATTGTGTGTAGGAAAATTTAGTAAGTTATGCCTAAAGCAGTCCAGTTTATAATCAAAATTTATTATGCTATAATTTTTTTTTATAAAAAATATAGTTCTTTTATCATGCGATTTCTAAAGAACAGAAATGCACAGGTTGGTTGGCTTTAGATAGGTTAAACTAACATATGTAAAACTTCCAATTTTTAAACTGAACACCTGTATCATCAGAAGTTTTAGTTTGGTTGCAGCTAGAGGTCACTTCTGTATCTTGAGAATCGTTTGTCGAGCAATTGGAGAAGCTTCACAAGAATTGTACGACTCTTGCAAGACACTCGGAGATTGCATTTTCATGTGAACACTGAGAACATAGTAAATGTTTTTGGCAGTAAGGTATAAGGAAGAAGTCTCGCTATGCTGTGCTGAAAACACTAGTTACTATTTATTGAGACTCACTTAAATACGCCCAGGTGGTTAAGGCACTCTATTCACAATCTGCAGGTTCGAAATCCCTGTCCCACCAAACATGCTCTCCCTTTCAGCCATGGGGGTGATATAATGTGATGACCAGTCCCACTATTTGTTGGTAAAAAAAGTAGCCCAAGATTTGGCAGTGATGTCTAGCTGCCTTCACTTTGGTCTTTCACTGCAAAATTAGGGACAGCTAGCACAGATAGCCCTCATGTAGCTTTGTCCAAAATTTAAAACAAACCAAAAACACTTAAATATTCATAAATAAGGTTTGAACCACTGATGAGTTTCTTTTTAACTATAAACCTGTTTCACTATCACACTATCAGTGAGCAGTTGAGTGATTGGAGAAGGAAGTAGCTCACCCCCACTTCGCAGTTGGATTTTTGTTACTTAACTTGTATAGCTGTATTACAGTATTATTGTTATTGGTAATTACATAAGTAAAAACAATACTGTTTTAGATGGCTTGAAAAAACATTTTCATTCACACACACACACACACACACACACTCCTCCCCAGTCATAATTTCAGATTTTATGTTAATGTTTTATGTTTTTTATGTTAACATAATTTTATGTTATGTTAATTGTTACCCTGCTAAATGTTGTATATCCATGAATATCTGTTATAGTATTTTTGTTGATTGTTCTATCAGTTTAAAACTTTGGTCCTTTTTCGTTAATTTTTTTTTTTTTCATCATTGGTCCTTTTAAAATATGTACTGTTTCATTATATTTGTGTGTACTATTTAGGTTTGTTAGTTTTTATGTCAGTATTTATTTAAACTCAGAAAACGTTTTTCACAAATCATATTATTAAAATATGTTTAGATTTTAGTCTTTAATGCGTACAGATTTTGCTTACATGTATATACAACTGATAAGTGATGATTTCTAAAGGACATCAGTTCTAACATAATACCAAAGGAAGCTGGCATATGTAACAGAACAGGAAATTCATTCAGCAACACTAGAGGAAGTGGAAGAAATAAGAAATTCAAGTCTTCAAACATACATGTGTGCTTGATTTGGGTAAGAGAAATTAATTACTCTTGATAGACGTATAATATGTATAAAAAAAATTGTACAAAAATAACTAGTAATTTTTTAAACATACATTTCATGTTTTGGCTATTTTAACATAATTGCAGGATCTCTGATATAATAAACTCTTAGTTTATTATATCTCAAGCTTTATATGTTACCATAATCACACTTTCAAACCAGTAGTACAAAAAAAAAGTTTTTGAGCTGATCGATATTTCGCATGCTTTGTTTAAAATTACAGAGTAGTGTAACTTTCTAAATAATGTGATTTAGACACTTAAGCTCTCACTGTCTTTGTATGCTTTAAAAAAAATTGTCAGTATATATGGCTTTGAAATATATATGAAGTTTTTGTTTTTGAAAATTGCTCACTTAAACTTTATTTGATTTCAGTATCTTGTCGGTTGATGGTTGAGAAACTTTCTTACTTCAGTTTGTATTCATGTGCTAATTTGATCACAACTCAAGAATAAGTAACCTTTGAACATAACTCAAAGAGTAAGTGTTTTGTTTTCTTCAGAATAATCTCATACTTATTTTTAATTTGAGGTTTTTTTGATGTAGTTCCTTTTCCCAGTCAAGTATTAAGTTATGCTATTGGTGAAATAAATAATGCAGTTTACATTCACTGTAAGATATCAATTATTCCTTCCATTTAACAAGCTTACTAAAAAGTTTGTTTTTTCTCTAAGAGATATCCAAATTGATATCTTTAACTATAACTAGTTGTGTTTAGGGATCACAAATAGCAGATATAAGTCGAAAGCACAAAAAAAAAGTGGAGCTTTTTGCAACCGTGCAGGATTTGTGACTTTGGAAAGTAAATATAATTAGGTAAACTATGTAATGATGTAAGGTCTGAGAGTTAGTTCCCACATTTAAATATTCTGTTTGGATAGCATTTGAATTAAAGCACCGAAACTCATTGGTTCCTTGTCAGTGTTTGTGCTATGTTTATGCACTGCTCGTATATTAACCTGAAAGAAAGACGGTTAAATATTATGGTGCTGTTTTTTGGACCACTGTAAAAGTCAAGAGAGATCACAGTGTAGAATATATCATGAATGATAGTCAAGAAAGGATACAAAACTGATTTCCAGATAACTATTCCTATAGAATTGAAGAAAAAAGAAAATAACAGTTGTATGTTTCACAAAACCTTCATTTATTCATGACCATGATTCCTTTACTGGCAAAACCATGGTCATGATTAAGTGAAGTTTTTGTGAAATATACAGTTGTCTTTGTTTTTTCCTAAATTCTGTAATTATGGAGTTTCACCAAGTACAAATAATGTCATCTCTTTGTCTCTAAAGTTTTAGAAGCTTTCATAATGTATAAAGGCTTGCATATCAATGGGGTTCAAAAAATTTATTGGATCCATTGTTACTTCTATACACATTGTAAAATTTTATGTATTTTGTTCAGATTTCCTGATAATGAAAAAGTGACGAGATAGATTTGGTTGTAGAGGTTTTTTTTTTAACCAGAAAGAATTTGCAAAAGGCTCAGTAAGTGATTCCAGAGGTTAAAAAGCAATAATGTCATTAAGTTCCAACACCCGGTGATATATCGCTGCTTATCACAACAAAATTCAAAACAAACAAAACAGTACTTACCTTTGTTGTTGTTTTTATGAGAATTTGGTTCAAATGAGCATGGAAGAAACAAGGATTTGGGTTTAATTATTTGTAAAAATGTTCTGATCTTTGACACAAACATTTGGGTTTGTTAAAAACAAAATGTAGGTTGCTAGAAGTTATTCCTAAATTTCCATTTAAGGAGTAAAAATTTATTGTTTTTATAATTTCAGTCGTATCATTTTTAGAATTATATTTTCCAAATATTAATTTGTTAGAAAAAAGTACAAAAGAAACTTATTACAAGTTTACTAAAGTATGGACTTGAATTTTAGGTTTCATAATTACAAACTTTGGAAGACAAAATTCCAAACATAGATAGATATATTCTCAAACACTCTCTCTTTCTCTGTGAGACTGATATGCCAGAATACCTGGTTTCTGCTGCTAACTTGCAAAGCTCTTTGAGATGTAATTATAAATAGAAAAGGTTTTTTTGAGTTACTGAGTGACGAATTTTATGGTCACTATCTTAATGTTGTATGTATTTCTGTCTAGGGTCACAACGTCCCACAGATGTAATAATGTAGATGATTATTAGACCATCTAATGTAGCTAACAATGAACATGAATTGTAGCATTTTCTTATTTTGGGATACAGAATTTATTGGATGTTGTTAGACTGCATATATAACTTATCATGAAACATTGGTAAAACATGATGGAAACAGAACTGGTGGTTAACATTAGCAGTTTTGGTACACACTTGCCAGCTTAAATGTTGCTGTAAAGCTCTTTTTTTCTTCTTCTTATTTCGAATGTTTATTCATTGGATGTATGTGAACTGCAATTAGATGGCTGACATTTTTGTTATTTGTGAGTGTTAACTATTTTTAACCCTTATCATGTACAATGTGTAAGTTATTCATTTTTTGGAATGTGTATATTTTTATAGTGGGAGACAGTCATTTTAAAGCCAAAGATATTGGGATGCGCACTCAAAAGAAACTTCTGAGTAGAATGGCAAATAGAAACATTGCCAAGGTCTTTATTGATGACACTTCTGCAGACTTGCTTGATAATCTACACCGAATTGTGCGTTACCAGAGTGGGCACAAAAAGGAAGCTGAGAAAATCATAAAAAATATTATAAAGGTACTTATTCTATTACCTATTGGTTTTTGTAGATTGGTTACATATATTGAGTTAATGGGGTGGGAGAACTAGGATGAGTTGAGATAATACAGGATGTCCCAGAAGTCTGGACCCATAGGGAAAAATACACAATTTATTTATTATTTATTTATTTATTATTCAAACTGCATGCCATTAACAGTCATACATCAATTCTTGTATACTGTGCCATAAGAGTATTTTCTTTCCTGAAATATGTACAACTGACATTAGAAATGTATTTGTTTAACTTTAAGAATATTATATCTATTTTCCGTATGGGTCCAGACCTCTGGGACACCCTGTATTTCTAAACTTATGGCCAGGTGGTTAGGGTGCTCGACTCCCAATCTGAGGGTCGCGGGTCTGATCCCCATCCCACCAAACATGCTCGCCCTTTCAACCGTGGGGCATTATAATGTTACAGTCAATCCCACTATTTGTTGGTAAAAGAGTAGCCCAACAGTTGGCGGTGGGTGGTAATGACTAGCTGCCTTCCCTCTAGTCTTACACTGCTAAATTAGGAACGGCTAGCGCAGATATCCCTCGTGTAGCTTTGTGCAAAATTCAAAACAAACCAAACCTTTAAACTTATCTGATACATTATGGAAATTAGTTAAAATGGTGTTTCTGAAAATTTGTGATTCAGTATTTCTTTTTTATGTAAATTTTCAGGCTGTAAAAGAGAATTGTGTAAGCCTTTGGTTCTTGAATTTCTTTGAATACATTTCACCTTTAGGTATGCACTAAAGGTTTCAAATACCTCTGAATGATTAGCACAAGAATCTTCAGTTAGTATGAACCTATTTTTGTTTTGGTGTTCTTATTTCAAAGAATTTGTCTTAAGGATGATAACTGTTAAACACTTTTGATGGCTGCACTCAAAATCTTAATAAATTAGTTGTTTTCTTAATGCATATTTCCACAAACATCATTAGCTAGTGGTCCATCAACCAACATGACCATTTTAGGAGCATACACTGCTATTTGATTTAATCATTTGGGGGGTACTCCTCATATTTTTCTGATTTGGGTCATTGAGGAAATAATCAATATAAAAAAACAAATGAATCTATACTTACATTGTTTTTTCTTAAAACTTCATCTCTTTAAGTACTTGTTCCTTTTCACTTAGGGAATGTAAGAAATCACACTTATTTGTATATGTATAAGAACCAAGGCAATTTTTAATGACCTTAAAACATATAAAGAAGACAAAACTTTGAACCAAAGTTAAAATTAAATGTCTTGTGAAGATGATTTGGTAATAGTGATTAACTTTATGTATGAAATCCATCCTGAATGAGCTATATACTGGTGTTTATACATTTAAAGTCTTTGTTCAGTGTGAAACATTAGTACAAAACCTGCCAGCAGTGCTGACGTGAAATCATTTTATTCATTACAATATTTTTTTCTAATTTTGAAACATTATTTTGTTGCTGTCAGGTTATAAAGTTGCAACTGTTCTGTTATAACTGTAATCTTTACATATTTTATACAATGCAAGAAATGTTTTAAATTTCCAGAAATTCTAAGGATGGTTTGGAGAAAAGCTATCACTGAAAAAGTTCACATGTCAAAAAATAAAAGTATAATAGATATCAACTTCAGTTTTTTTCATTCTCAACTTTGCCTGAAATCATTGGTTGTTGCAAGAGTTACATATTTTTCAGATGTACGTAAAGATACCAATATATCTAAATTAGTATCATTTTTCTAGTGATTCAGACTGATCAGTGAAATATCATTACCTTCTGTTTTAGATCGTCATTAAGATGGGAATCCTGTACAGAAATGACCAGTTCAGTCAGGAAGAACTGAAAATAGCAGAGAAGTTTAAGCACAAGTTCCACTCCACGGCAATGGCTATCATCAGTTTCTATGAAGTAGATTTCTCTTACGATAGAAACTACCTATTACAAGCACTCAACGAGTGTTGTGCCATGCTTAAAGACTTGATTTCCAACCACCTAACCGATAAATCTCTTAATAGGGTTGACTACGTATTTTCGTTTTTTGGTTCACCAGGTTTTCTGGATGACGTGTTTCGGCGTGACAGCCCATATCAAGAAACTCTTGGAAGGATTGTCTCAGATATGCATAAAATGATGGAAGATGGTACACTTTAAAAAGTAGTTGATTTACAGTGCGGGTTGTTCAGCTTAGGTAACTGTTAGTGGTTTTTTTGTAGCTTCACTTAAAGTTTTGCCAATATACTATACTAGTGTGCAGATGAGAATCATACACACAAACTTAATTTCTTTTAGTATGTGATACTCAAAGTATGAAAAAAACACAGTTCAACCTGTCGGTGTGTAAAATGGTTTTACTAAAAAATGTGTATTATTTTAAGAGGTAAAAAAATAATGTGAATGTTCACCTTTGTTTCATACACTAGTCTCTACAGTTTACTTTCAGATTTAAATATTAATCTGAAACCAAGTGTCTGAGATGTTCAGTTGTGTTTCTTAAACTATACATGTTTCAAGTATACAAATTTCATAATAATGTAGAGTAAAGGGCCTAAACATTTGTAACAAGGAGTAGAACATAGGCTTTTTCTAACAAAATTATTTTTTAAAATAATAAAAAAAAACACAAGTCGGTTACAAATAGGTATTTCAAAGAATTTACTGTGCAACAAATGAATTATTTTTTCTATTGCAGGAAGCTAGTATTTTTATAAAAATTGTGCATATTATTTTTTTAATATGTATAATAAAAAAACACAAAGTAAAACTACACAAAATTTTTGCAACTTAAAATTGTTCATGAATTACCGGAGTGCTGTCGTGTAGTTTATATCGACACTAAATGGGTGTTCAGTTTTCAAATCTCTTCCTGTGTCATAACTCCATCAAGGTCAACATAAAATAGAAATCTTTATAAGGTACAAAGACCACATCCCTAAAAAGTATTTTTGTATTACAGTTATACACTTTATTTTTACCAAGTTTTAGTTTAGTCATTTTGTGTTTACACATGAGCTTCTCATTAGATTTAGGATGTTGTAACTGACAGTTCTATGTTATATTCAAAAAAGGGGTTAATTATTTCTTATACTAATTGATATTTAATTTTATGTTCAGGAATAAGGGTATAAATATTTTTTGTTCTACTGGTTTATGTGTTCTACTTTAGGTTAAGTGAAAAGGGAAATATTATCATATGTGAATATCCACTGATTTGATTCTTAATGTTTAAAAGAGGATGCAAGTTTACTGTCTAAACTTTAAGGTGATTACGTTTGTACCTATCAATGGCTTTGGTTCTACTTAATTACAAGTAAGGGGAAGGTGTTTGTTTCAATGAGTGTGGTTCTACTTAATTACAAAGAGTATGGGGATTGTGTACACGTCTCTACCGATGGCTGTGGCTTTATGTAATGTTCAACAAGTGTGGGGCTGCATTTGTCTCTATCAATGGCTGTGGTTCTGTGTAATGTTAATCAAGTAAAGGAAGTTTGTTTGTACATATTGGTGGACATTGTTCAACTTAATTACTGGTAAGGAGAGTGTATTTGTACCTGTCAGTGGATATTTTTCTGTTTTAATTAAGTTAAAGAAAGAAGAACAGGTTGCATTTATCAGTTTTTTTGTAATTCTGTTTTCTTTACGCTATTGATGAAAGGACGCGTATTGACAAAATTAAGCTATTTTGTTCTAAGTTTAATGATGTGAGCTTATAGTAATGCAAAGAATAATACTGAGCCTAAAAAAGTGGTTATGTGTTGGATTCAAGAAAACAGTACTCTACACCTCAAGTGATACATTTTATTTTATATCGTATAGGAGTACACTCATTCTGGAATAGTTGCTTTTACTGTGGTTCAGTCTTTTATTAAATAGTAAATACATAAAAATATTATCAATATTTTTTTTCATCTTGGTAATTCACTTTTATACAGAAGTGTTGTATAAGCTGTGTCGGATGGTGTGAGTGGAATGGGATTTTGGTCTCTATGGCAAGGCCTCCTTCAGCTTTCAAGTGTATCATCTAAATGTTATTTAATCCAATATTCACAGAAGGAGAGAGATTTTCTTTTATGGGAACCTTTGGGAATGTTTTAAGAAGCAAAGCAATTGTTTTCTATGTAAATGTAAGCTTAAATAGCAAACAAAGAAACACTAAAAATTTTGTTAAGTACTATTAGACTACTAATGCTCACAAAACTGGATACATTTTTTTTTTCTAAATATCAAAACAACTATGACTGTATGTTAGAATGAAAGTGGTGAAATCCATTTAAAAACACAGAATGTTTACTTAGAACTATTGATACTAAGGTTTTCAAATAGCACTTAAAAATTTATAGATACAAGTGTAGGAGTCTAACACCAGCAACAAAAACATGTCTGTAGTCTGTCCCTGTGAAGAAGGACAAATTAATGGTCCAGAGGAAGAGTAATAGTACAGCTCTTTACATTATATACTAAACATCTGCTTCTATGAAACTAAAGTAACACTGATTCCTTAACCAAGTAGTGCCTTAGGACCTATTGTAAAGCAAAAATATGCACATAGTTCAGGTGGAAAAAAATCTTGTGAATTTATACATAGCCATGAAAGTGTTATTTCTACGTACTTATAATAGTCAAAGAGAGAGATCTGATAAATAAATGTTGAAAAAAAACTAGCATTTTTATAAAACTATTGGTCAAGCACTTAGCATTTGCTTTTGTCTGTACGTCTACCCGTGTTGTTAATGTAACATTATATGTAAACTGGTTTATTATTGTTGTTAGACTTCCGTTGTATTGTTACCACACGTGACATCCTGGCTGTAACTTACCAGTTTGTGTGTTAATATAGTGTTTAATATCTTAAATACTATTTATAGTTTTAAAATGTTCGTTAACTTAAGATGAATTTTAAGAACTTTTAACTTCATAAAAAGTTTCAGTGAGGATAAATTACTAATCAGCATAATATTGATCTTTTAAATTTCATCATATCATAAATTGTTTTTTTGTACAGTTATAATATCTGTGATGCATTTTTTTATTGATTTACGAGCATAATTATACCATATAATGATTTCTGAGGATAAGAATTAGTAATTTAAAAAGTAAAAACTGTACTTGAATAATATCTTTGTACTCAGTTTTTTTACCGTACTATTTTTGTATTACCTGAAACATTCAGAAGAAAGGTACTTGTATTTCCTGGAATAAACTGGTAAATTGTTAACCATTGTATTTAATATTCTTCATCCAGTTAGACTGATTTTTATAATTGAAGTAAACCTTTGACTGCTGACCTCTATTAACTGAATGACTCTTTATCCACGTTGCAACTAAATTGTATTGTCTACTCTTTTGAGACCCTTTCATTTCTTCAGGCACCACTGACACAACATCAATATAAAAGTTATTCTCCTTGTCTTATATGTATCAGCAGTCTTCAGAATATTGCATTCCTCTTATCACGAGACAGATTAAATATATCCATCTCGGCCATATGCACGTAATCTCTTCACCAAAGCTACTAATTTGAATTCAAACTGCCACCTGCATGCACTCTTATCATATAGTGTAGTCTACTTTAGCATATCACATTCTTTAAAATTGAGAAAAACTGATGAAACGTGTTTTTTTATTATTATTCTGGTAGCATTTGCTTGAATTTTGCTAATTGAACATTTTCTTGGTTCTCACACAAATAATAGCAATGAGGCATAGTGGAATCAGTTTTATCTTTCATGAATGAATAAAGAATTACAAGTAATTTGCCAAAATGAACTAACATTTTGTTATATATACATTGTAAAAATACCAAGCTAGTTAACCAACAGCATCATAAAGAAACTGATAACTATTTCTAACGAAAGAGACACAAGCAGGATCAAATGAACTTTGTTTAGGTAAAACAGACACCTTTTTTCTTTTTGTTTCACACAGATTTTACAGTAGCTTCTTTGTTCTCTTATAATATTAATAAAATTGTAAACATACACAGATCAAATATGGTATCAATTTTAATAATTCATCCCGAACTGAAAGCTAAATAACATTCAAGCAGTGCTGTTAAGCCAGCATTACTTTACTACAACCATACATCTCATAAATGTTATTTACACTTTCAACTGCTGTACAATATATTATTTAATAAAAGTAAGCATATCACTAAGCAAAGTGCATTTAATTTCAATCAATATTTCACACTATACTTTATTACTAGAATTATATATATATTCTGTTTACTTGAAGAACAATAACTTTCTTTCTTGAAGAATACAATCAATTCAGCTTTCAGCCTTCTGAAGTTTTCTGCAACCAACACCTGTGAAAGAGTCATGGATATGTGTAATTATGTAAATAAATATAAAATTAGAGCTCTACTTGAAGTTGATAACTTTATAATAGATAATCTTTATTCTGAATTTCAACCTAAAAGAATATGAAAGGGTATTTCATTGTGGAAATATTATCCAACTAATGTCATTGTAGATTTTAAATGGTGTAAAGAATGATACTAAAAAACTTACCTTCCACGTGACAAACTTCAGTAGAGGCACCTAGTGACAACAAGTAATCTAACCACATCACTTGCTTAGGAGACAAACGATCTCCGGGCCCCTTCACTTCCACAAACTGGAACCAGATTAATTTCACAATATTATTTTTAATTAAAATAAAACATTAAAGGTTATGAATGCAGTCTTTAGCTATTTTCTAATCAACTCCCACAGCAACAGTGAAAATCAATACATTAATAAAACAGATGAAAAAACTTACCCACAGTTTATAATTTTTCATTATGATTTGTTTGTATGGAATTAAGTACAAAACTACACAATGGGCTATCGTGTTCTGCCCACCACAGGTATCAAAACCCAGCTTCTAGCGTTGTAAGTCTGCAGACATACTGCCATGCCACTGGGAGGGCTTACATCATGAACAGTAAAAACATTATTATAACAGATACTGACTCAATTACCAAAATTATGAGTAAAAGTTTGGTATCGCTTTACTGATTGTTTAATCTCGGCTTCTTTTGAAGAATCATCAGTTTCCTTCACCCATAACATAGTCTCATTTTCAGCATTACCAATTACCTTGAACATATTGGGGGACCATATCACATTCACCTAATGCTTGAGCTGTCCTTGAATCTAGGATTAGTGTGTTATTTTAAATGATCTCCCAGGCTTCTGACCGTCGATCCGATGTGAGCACCCCCACACACGTGGAGCAATAGAATTCATAAATGACACAACTTTTGGGAGAACTGTATTCAATCTTTAAATTTCAAACAAATTTTGAATTCTCAATAGTGGTCTAAACACACATTTAAGGTGAATTTGTGAATAGACTCTGTTAATTATGGCCTTTAATTTCTTCAAGGTTTGTGAGTGTGAGCCTGTGTATGGTAGATCATTACTTATAGCTTTGGGATGTTAGTGTTCAGTGACCTGGCTAGAGGTAGTTGTGGAATGGTTTTATTGATTGTAGAATCTATGAAGTTGTTTGGGAAAAAGTTTTAAAACTGATTTTTGTCTTGCTGTAAAAGTTTACAGGAACTGTTGATTCGTTGTACTTGGGATGTAAGACAATTCACAAAGTTTTCTTCGAAATGCAGAGGCACAAAACTGTCGAAGTGGGTTACAGACAGGTGTAAGTCGGTTTTTGGTAACAGCCAACAGAGGCACAAAACTGTCGAAGTGGGTTTACAGACCGGTGTAAGTGGGTTTTTGGTAACAGCCAACAGAGGCACAAAACTGTTGAAGTGGTGTACAGACCGGTGTAAGTGGGTTTTTGGTAACAGCCAACAGAGGTACAAAACTGTCGAAGTGGGTGTACAGACCGGTGTAAGTGAGTTTTTGGTAACAGCCAACAGAGGCACAAAACTGTTGAAGTGGGTTGTTGGTAATAGCCAACAGAGGCACAAAACTGTTGAAGTGGGTTTACAGACCGATGTAAGTGGGTTTTTAGTAACAGCCAACAGAGGCACAAAACTGTTGAAGTGGGTGTACAGACTGGTGTAAGTGGGTTTTTGGTAACAGCCAACATCAAACTTTCCTTGTTTGTTGTACACCAAGAGCAGAACCTCGTTGGTGATCAAGGTGAACTTAATGTTCACATGTCTAGAATTCATATTCCTTTAGTAGGTTCTAAAGATTATGCAAATGAAATAAGAAAGCTGTAAGGTAAAAAGAAGTACTTGTATTCATAGCATGGAAATCACCTTTTTTACTCAGACTGACACAGTAAAGGCTTTGAAAATTAAGATAAACCTTCATTTAAAAAAAATCTTATATTTTGTGTACAAAAAAAGACTTGTTTATTAAATTATTAAAAGCTTGCTACATTTCATGAAGATACACTTAGTAAATTTAGTATTATAGTAAACATTATTATGTATAGCTTCGTAGATATGGGGTCAGTCAATATGCTGGAGCCCGTAAACAGATGGTTAATGGACATATTATGTAAAATCTTATATCAGATAGTGTTCCCACATTGAATTTAAATCAAATCATTTTGGTTTTATCTAATCAAGAAACAAATTAAATTTCTTGAAGTTCTTCTTACGACAGCCAAACAATATGCTATTCTTAAACTTTTCAAATAGCAAAAGGAATGTAATATTTTGTTAGCATTATTACTGGATTCACTATCAACATTTTTTTCCAAAATGTCTCCACTTTTGTTAATCATCCAAACCTCAAACTACAAAGAAAGAAACCTCAAACTGAAGAAAACATGAGAATAGTTTAAATTACTAATAAATATATTGAAATGTGTTAACTACGTGACAAGAGAAACAGCAATAAAATGAAATGTGTTAACTACATGACAAGAGAAACAGCAATAAAACGAAATGTGTTAACTACATGACAAGAGAAACAGCAATAAAACGAAATGTGTTAACTACATGACAAGAGAAACAGCAATAAAACGAAATGTGTTAACTACATGACAAGAGAAACAGCAATAAAACGAAATGTGTTAACTACATGACAAGAGAAACAGCAATAAAACGAAATGTGTTAACTACATGACAAGAGAAACAGCAATAAAACGAAATGTGTTAACTACATGACAAGATAAACAGCAATAAAACAAATTTTGAAAAAGTTTTAAGGCATAAAGTTACTTTTCAAAAACTATTAAAATTGTACTTTACCTTTACTGTACAAAATTCTGGGTTCCACACAACCAAGTCAGGAACACCACTTCTACAATGACGATAATCTTGTACAAGTCGTTGGCAGATTCCACTAACCAGTTCATTTCCTATACACTTTATTAAACCCTATGAAAATACACAGTTCTTTTATTATTAAACTTTGAATTCATTGTCAAGAAAGCTTTGGAATATAAAAACAAATTTTAAAGTGGTATCACTAGCAAGTCACCAGCTCATTATATTACTGATTGTTTGTTTTGTAATTTCGCGCAAAGCTACATGAGGGCTATCTGCACTAGCCGTCCTTAATTTAGCAGTGTAAGACTAGAGGGAATGCAGCTAGTCATCATCACCCACCGCCAACTCTTGGGCTACTCTTTTACCAATGAATAGTGGGATTGACCGTCACATTATAATGCCCCCACGGCTGAAAGGGCGGGCACATTTCGTGGGACAGGGATTCAAACCCGCAGATTGCGATTCGAGCTCCCTAACCACCTGGCCATGCCGGGCCTATATTACTGATGTTAATATAATCAATCAATTTAAAACTTGATGAGTACACTGGAATGGATGGCAACTGCCTGTTGTAGAAAAAATATGAGTGTAGAGGATGAAGTTTTGAAAGTCTTCAGTTATTAATTTCTAGATCAAGAAAGGATAACTTCGAATAATTATTTTCTTACTCAACAGTAAAGTTTCTAATGGAATTTTGTTTATATAGATAGTCCAAAAACAATTTACCATTTTTCTTTCTCTTAAATATAACAAAAGCATCATCAATATATCTGTGATCTTTAATAAGTTTAAACACTATCAGGACAATCTTCTTTCCGATAAATTCATGAAAAGTAAGAATACAGTAAAAAATAGCTTTGAAATATCTGAGGAGCTGAGAAAGTTGAAATTTGAGGAATAGGATTTTTGAGATAGTTTTGATATTATAACTTTATAAACTGGTATTCCTCTAAGTGAGGTTATTCAGTTAATTGCTGACATTGTATTTGAAAAGAACTCAATCCAATGGTTAACAAAATGAGTGTTTAAGGAATAGTTAAAATTTGCCACCATGAAATTGCATTTCATTTTTAACAATACTGTGCATGATCAAATAGATGCAGTTGCCATGGGTTCCAAATCGGCATCTAATCTTGCTAATCACGATAAGAAATATGGTTTATGGTTATTAGTACTAATATTAGATACTATTGGTCTGATTGGAGATCTGTTTTTATGAATCTTCGGTAGACCATACAAAAAAATCATTAGATACAAATGTTCTAATATCATTATATACATTGTTGTTAAGTACGTTATTTTTCTTTAATTTTATCGTCAAAATTTACCTTCCTTTTCTTGTAGAATTAGGGTTAATTAATTTCATAAGATAACACAGTTAGCATCTTATTCACAGTCTTCCATATTTGGAACAAAATATTAAAGAACATCTACAATCAACTCCAGCCAATGACAAGTCAAGTATTTATAGACATCAAGTCAGTTAATGACAGAGCTGGATGAAGGCTTCAATTGGTGCTGAAAATGAAGAGGATTGTTAGGTTAAAAAGAAACTCTTTGTATTAAGAGAGTAAAACCACTTTAGAACAATAATATCTCATCAATTTATAAGACATCTTTAAGATTGTGCATTGAGAGGCCTTCACTAACCTGCACATCATCCGAGCTGCCAAATCTATCCCAGTTGACTAAACACACTTTTCCGTGATGAGCTTGCCAACTTTGATCAATTCTACTTTGTAGCTCCTAAAACAATAGCTATCATGTCACTATAATAAAGACTGAACACATCTAAAGAACAGAAAGATTTGGAAGAAACTGTCCTATAAAAAAAAACTGATGACCTTTTAAAGATTACTCCAAATTCTTCATACTTCTAGATCTTTTCCCTCATGTGATTCTCAAAACACAGATAAATACATGCATTACAGTCTATAAAATGTATTTTTTTCAGCTTTCGAAATACAACTTAATTGCATAATTTTTTTTAAGAAACAATGAAAAAATTAATAAATCAAACTTCAAAACTTTTTAGGTTTTTTTTTCCCAAGAAATGTCTACTAAGTTTCAACTATTTAAGCATTAATCTGTTATAAACAAAAAATCACTTTACTTTTAATAATCAATCATAATTTTTTCTTAAATTGTTCTGTTTTATACAAGCACTTAATTTTCTTGAACACTGAACTACAGTATGATTTTCTTGACACCAATCTATGGTTTGAAAGTTTTTTTCTAATGATGAGACACAATGCTTAAACATAAAAATATATTGAATAATACAGGTCAGGCAACTTTTATTGGTTACAATGGTAAGGTATATAAGGTTAGATGTATGTAAGCTTGATCTTAGAGCAAGTATCTAAGCTTGATCTTAGAGCAAAACGCTTATGATTATTTTAATTATGAGATAAAATTGTAGTTTTAGACTAAAGTTTTTCACCACCACCCCCACCCCCCAAAAAAATCAAAACTGGATGAAAACAGAGCAAGTCACATTTCATTACAAATTAGGTTACTTGTTTAAATTATAAACTGAAAATTTTCATTTGCTTAAGGAAAACTTCAAACTTTGTGATTTTTTAAACAGTTGTTAACAATTGAAATTCCTTACCTCTATTGTACAATTTTTTATTTCTTGAAGTCTTTCTTGAATTTCAATCATCCTATGCATATAAAAATGGTCTGAATTTAAGTCCAACGGGTAGCTTTGATATGGTGTACGGAAAACATCGTCAACCTCTAACTCATAAATAATATCCCAGAATAACAAACAAAACAGCATTGAAAATGTTGATCCTTCTCCATGAATGCCTGTAGGTTTGAAAATGATAGAAAAAATATGTAAGTGTAAATCAAATCTGTTTGACAGCAATCATTGTATCTCTGTCCTTACTGATGTCACCTGTACCAAGTTGACATTACATTACCTTGTGCACCTGTACCAAGTTGACATTACATTACCTTGTGCACCTGTACCAAGTTGGCATTACATTACCTTGTGCACCTGTATCAAATTGACATTACATTACCTTGTGCACCTGTACCAAGTTGATATTACATTACCTTGTGCACCTGTACCAAGTTGATATTACATTACCTTGTGCACCTGTACCAAGTTGATATTACATTACCTTGTGCACCTGTACCAAATTGACATTACATTATGTCATACTCTGGATACCTGAGGGCATTCATTAACTGTACCACCATTTTTACACTTTAGATATTCTGCCAGAAGCTGCCATTATCATGTTTTTTTATGTCATACTCTGGATACCTGAGGGCATTCATTAACTGTACCACCATTTTTACACTTTAGATATTCTGCCAGAAGCTGCCATTATTATGTTTTTTATATCATACTCTGGATACCTGAGGGCATTCATTAACTGTACTACCATTTTTACACTTTAGATATTCTGCCAGAAGCTGCCATTATTAAGTTTTTTTTATGTCATACTCTGGATACCTGAGGGCATTCATTAACTGTACCACCATTTTTACACTTTAGATATTCTGCCAGAAGCTGCCATTATTAAGTTTTTTTTATGTCATACTCTGGATACCTGA